GTGTGTGTGTGTGTGTGTGTGTGTGTGTGTGTGGACGACGCTCTCGGGGCGCGGTCTTCGGCCGCCGGGGGACAGCGGTCCGGGCACGCGCGGCTCCCCCCCCCCCCCCCGCGCCCGCGAACGGTGCCAGGATGTCCCCTTCCCGCCCCGCCGTCCGTCGAACCTGGACACCGGCGGGCGCTCGTGGCCCCCCTTCACCACCACCCCCCGCCCCTCGGCCGCCACTTGCGCTTGGCATGGGCCGCCCCGGGCGATGTTGCGCTTCGAGCGCCCGCATGCGCACACACATGCACGCATGCGCGCGATGCAATGTGTCCGCCCGATGGCATTTCCCCCCTTCCCCCTCGGCGCCCCCTGGTCGCCCCCTCTTCGCCTGCCCACACGCCGCCGGCGCCCGCCCGGCGAGACGCCGGCCCTCCAGCCGGCAAAGGGGTAAGCGAACACGCCGATCTCTGCCCCTCCCTCTCGGCCCCCTTCAAGGCACGCGCCCCCTGGTGGGGGCCCCAAGGGAGCACGGACCGCCGCGCGGGGACGACGTGCGCCGCCTCTCGAGCAGGCGCGCCTGCCAGCTGGCCGGCGCACATACTTGCGCGCGCCCCATCCATCCCGGCGCGCCCCCCGGCGGCGCCGGTCTCGCCCGATCCCGCCCTTTGCCCGGAGAGGGACCGAGGGAGGGCACACACACACACGCACATGCACACGGGCAACGGCGGCAGGCAGGCAGTAACCGCACAGCGATGGAAAAGGCGTGAAAATACGGCAGCGACACATGCCAACGATCCCGCGAGCTCCCGCAAGGAAAATCACGCCATCTGTATTGCGGGCGGCATGATCGAGGAGGGCCGATCACGCCTGTTCCCCCGTCGGGGCCAGCCACGGCCCGAAGGGCCACTTGCCCTGGGCAATCAGCGGCCCGGCCGCCAGGGACACCTCCTGCCCGGCGGGGGTGGCCGGATTCAGCCGGACCGGGAGAATGGCCGCACGCGAGCCGCCCGACCCGGCCACCGGCAGGGGGAAACGCACCCGCAGGCTCACCTCCACCTGGCACAGGGCCCCTTGGGGCGGAAGGGGAGAGGCGGTGGTGGCCGGGGCCCCGCCGCGACGGGCATCGCCCGCCCGGGCCGGATGGGCTCGGCGATGCCGCTGCATCATGGTCGACCCGCGAGACGTGGCCGCCACCGGGTGGACCTCCGTCAGGTCGGCCGCCTGCGACAGGCCGGCCAATGGCAGGGCCAGCTGCCCCACCGTGACCATGGTCTCCGGATCGGCGGCCGGGGTGGCCCCGCCGGGTGCCGGGGCGCCAGCGCCGCCTCCCGACAGGAAGCCCCCGAGCACGCGCGAGAAGACGCCCCCCCCACCGGCGGTGGAGGCCGTCGGCGACACGGCACCACCCTCGGGCCAGAGCTGCACCGACAGGACCAGCTGCTGGAGGTTCTGCGACAGCGGCAGCGTCGCCGACACCGAGTGCTCGCCCCAGGCCCCCTGGGTGGCGTCGCGCTTGGCCCCGGCGGCGCTGATCAGCTGCAGCGACACGCGCAGGCGCCCACGCTCGCGAACCATGTCCGCCAGCGTGGGATCCAGCCCCCGGACCTGCACCCCGACCGCCAGCTGGTTGTAGGCCACCTCCGGGTGGTAGTGCCGCAGGAGGGGAACCGGCACGCCGAGGCGCATGTCCACCGGCAGATCGGCCACC